TGGGGGGGGGGGGGGGGAATCGGACGCCGAGGACGTCGGGAAATTGAGTGCAGCTACCGAAGGTGCTCGGTAAATCATCCCAGAGCGCCGGCCTCGCGCAGTACTTACCGAATTGCACTACTTAGGTATCAGGGCAGATGTATCACTTGTGAATCGTCCTACTCTAGAGAAACGAGGGAGTTTGATGAGGGCCGTGAGCATAACAAGAGCGATGATACTGTACTGAAAAGAACATAAGCAGCGTTGGATGTTAGGTTCAAACTGAAACGCGCTATGCTGGTTGACGCATGGGCCGAACCATCATGCACGATAATAATTCACATTCACGGCCCACAAAGGAGCACGAACAAGATGATGTAACCCGTGAGTCACTGTACATATGGCGCAGCATGGTGTGACCACAAGCTGAAAGACGGAGTCGGTGTGGGAGCAGTCGGCAGATGGTGGAGAGGCTCGAGCATCACCAGTCGCTGCGCAGTGTGGCTAGCCGTTATAACAGACGCGATGACTACACGTATTCTGCGCGGAAGGAAATTGCCTATCATCGCTGGTAATGGTTCCCTCAGTGAATACGGAAATATCAAACTCGACAGAGCAGCATTAGACAGGCGATTGATATTGAGGACCGTGCGGTACATACAGTCTAACGCGGTGCCAGCTTGCCCACTTACCAGTTTGTCCGGAGTGGAGTCGCGGCCGAATTTGCATACACGATTCCTGGCAGATCTGCGCGCTCTGAGAGAACTGCGGGTCAGATTTGTCGAGGTATGGCACCATTAAGCTCCAGCATGGTGCCGTAGCACGATCGAGAACCCGACCGGTCGAGTTTCGACACCGGGTGAGCTCAGGTCCGTCCACGGCCGCTAGAGTGCCGGTACAACAGGTAAATTCAAAGGCTCGCAGCGCCATACAAGTTGAAGCAGCCGGACGGTGTAAAGAGTGAAGTTAGGAGATCAGACATCTTGACTACCGAGTTGCTCAGGCATATATACTGTATATGTTGGCATACTTCAAACGTGTGAGGAAGAAGTGCTAAATTTGCAACAGCAGACAGGGAACAGTGGAATGCGCCACCAGCGTGTCCTCGCTGCTGCCGACCATGCCGGGACACAATTGGCGATGGTGATAGGATCCCGGAGGAGGCAAAGACCTGGATTTGGAGTGGGCAGAGAAGAGAGCGGCCGCAAACGACAAGAGGGGCGTCTGAAAGAGACTTCTGGCCGGGAAGTGGTCCAGGAGGATGACCAGACGATAGCCTAACAAAGCAAAAAGGAACACACGTGCAGAAAGTGTGGGGACGGAAGGCAGTTGGATGAATCGGAATTTGGAAGCTGCGACCCAACTCGACCCATGCAAGGGCGAGCCTGGCGAGGAGGAATTGAAAACCACATTCACGGTGCACCGCGAGCGGGCAGACCAGACCAGACCAGGCTTCTAGCAGCCAAAACTGCGTGGTCGGAGAGGTCGGAGAGCAGAAACTTTATCAAGTCGGATGGGGGCCCGGAGAGGAAGGAGCCATGTGACCCAAGTGGCAGGACAGGCCGCCATATGGCATAAATAAAACACAGGCATGCACCCGCCGTGCGAGGTTTTCCGCCCTCTGCCATCGTCTTTCCGCTTGTCGTCGTCGTCCTCGCCGCTGCCGTAGAGGTTGTCCGCCATGAGCGTTGCAGCAGCCAGTGAGTAGCCGTCGGTTCGAATTTTCGCTCGGATAAGGTCATCTCGGCATCGAGCCGAGCCGGCCAGGAGGCTGCTGCGTGCTCAATATGACGCCGTGCAGAACCTCCTGGGCGAGTTCGATGTGACCCCCCTGGTCTCCTCTCCACTCCCCGCATGCTAGCTCCTCTTTAGTGCCCCCTCCAGCTCTTTTCTGTCTTTCCTTCACCATGTCTTCGTTGTCGCCTTCTGCGGCGTCCTCGCCACCCCCAACGTCGGTGGCAAGTACGTCTCCGTCGACAACTCCTACAACTGGTCCTGCTTCTTCCTCTTTAACCCCATCCACCATATCCCCTCCTTTTACCTCTTCTATCTCCACAAGTGCTGACACCTCCTTTTCATTCTCTCCAGGTTCGACATCCTCGAGGTCGTCGTCGTCGTCGACCTCTTCCTCTTCCTCTACCACGCCCTCTTCAACCTCTTCTACCACATCAACCTCTTCCACATCAACCTCTACGACTTCGACCACAAGCACCTCTTCAAGTTCTACGACTTCATCTTCTACATCTTCCACTCATAGTTCGAGTTCGACCCAGACTACAACAGAATCAAGTTCGACCACATCGTCTACTGCTGCGGTCGTTACCTCTTCTGGGCTTTCATCCACCTCCTTATCAACTTCAACCTTTA